TGACTACTTCATTGTGTCAGCAGACTGTACAGCAACCCATTCAAGGAAAACCTTCGTCTGGGGTTTCAGTGAGTGACTCATATAGACAAGCAAAGACCATAGAGTCGAAAGATATATAGTTTTATACATTTTCCTTACTTAGAATTTGAAAAATTTCAATGAAATCTAGGCGCAGTGAGACAAAAGTACGAACTATTACACTAACGATACAAAATAAAAATACCGTGCTAAAAATTCGTCCAAAATAAATAACTCATATACCAATAGAAAGATGAAACCCTAATCTATGTACTCCTGAAAAGAAAATTGGAATATCTTTCCTCGTTTTGTCAGCAACGTCCTTCAAAGCTAACACTGCGCAGGTCGGTGAACTGCACAGATGTCGGTGGCATACGATTATTTAAAGGGTCGGTGAAGCACACGGATGTCGGTGCGGAAGGGTTAAGGTACATGCGGTTGTTTTGCAGATGAGTTCATCCTCCAATTGATACTTGCTTGTGTGCCTCATCCTGCGTGTAGCTTCCTCTTTGAGCCTGCGTGATTTTCTTTCTACTCTGCCATCCTTTGCAGGCGTCATTCTTACCAATTATGCATGTGACTTCCATTGGACAAAGGAAGTAAAAATGCTCACTATTTCGTTTGCATGAAATTTTTCACTTATTATTGTAAGATAAGAAAATGTGATGTAGTCGTTGATTTAAATTATAATATAATTTGATGACTGTTAAATAGTATTTTAGGTACATATTTGATTTACAGTGTTCTCTCTTATAGTGAAGGTAATCAATATTTGTCATTCTTATGTTTTAGCTGCACGTCAATATATATTTCTGTGAAGGAAGTGAATTTGTTGTCCCTCAGGCCATATTTTGGAGACTAATATAGCATGGGAAGTTGCTGGTTGTGGTAGCCAAGTGACACCCTGAATAGAAGTCAGCCGCAATGTGTCATTTCAGACTGAATGAGCAGGCAAATTATTGGGAAATGTTGAAGAGTGTTGGAGAAATTTAATCTACTCCTGAGTACGTAAGAGACATAAGTGGTCGTAGGGACGGTGGAAATGATACCGTCACAACCTTCCGTCATTTACGAGGTAACGTATATCAGTTATCCCTTCTGCAGGAGTCAATTTAATTCTTCTGTTCGTATAGTCATAATTTCCACATGGTACATGTTGAATTTTAGTTAACATATCTCATTTGTTTTAGCGTTTTTTCCCTTCAAGTGACAGTAGCTTGATGAATCTTTCATATCTGCATCCGCTTGCCTTAGCCTCGATTCCTGTGTGCATGCCTATTCTTCAGCTTGAATAAACCTGCTTTTTTGTTCTTGTGTGCCTGCCTGTCTGACACAGACAACCTTGCAGCTGGCAGTGTTCTTAACTAGAATTCCTGGTGCTTCCATTTGCATGTGGGTAGAAGGAAACACACACTGTTTACATAACGTGATTTTTTTCAGTTAATGACATGACTTTAAGTAAATGTGATCAATTTGACTCAAGTTATAATTGAAATTGAATCATTGTTAAAAATGTTTGACATACATATTTAACATTAACTGTTCTCTGATATAATTAAGATAATTATGTATTTAATAATATGATGTCCTAGTGGAGCGTCATATATTTCAAGGGATTGAGTGACTGATTCTTTTCTTCAGGTGAAATCTTGGAGAATTAGAAGACCTCGAAGGAGATTGCTGCTTGGTGTTCTTAGCATCACCCTTATATGAACTGTGTTGCCATGAAACAAATCTGACAATGAATGTGGAAATGCTTCAGTGATGTGTTGTGTTGTTGAGATATGAAGAAAATGGATCCAGTACTGGTCATGATACATAGCACAAGTGCATCTTAATGACAGTGGAAATGTCACTGCCACACCATAACATCATTTTTGAGGTAAGTTGAAGAGCAGCAAAATATTTATATGAGTTATATTAGTTTTTCTCTTCTTTTAGACTTAATTTTCAAGCACTAAATTTTTGGTTTAATGTACATGCGGTTGTTTTGCAGCTGAGTTCATCCTCCAATTGATACTTGCTTGTGTGCCTCATCCTTCTTGTAACTTCCTCTTTGAGCCTGCGTGATTTTCTTTCTACCCTGCCATCCATGCAGCCTACATTATTCTTACCAATTATGCATGTGGCTTCCATTGGACAAAGGAAGTAAAAATGCTCACTCTTTCGTTCGCATGAAATTTTCACTTATTATTGTAAGATAAGAAAATGTGATGTAGTAGTTGATTGAAATTATAATGGAATTTGATGGCTGTTAAATAGTATTTTAAGTACATATTTGATTTACAATGTTCTCTCTTATAGTGAAGGTAATTAAGGCTGTAATCCATCACCTCCCCCTCAACACCCCGGCGGAAGATATTTCTGATGGATTGGTGACCCTGGTATTTGACGTGGTTAGCGTCAAGCAGATTAGAACCACCCGAGGGTCGCCATCAGAAGGAAGGATAACCAGAAACCTTCCCCTCTTCGTCAAAACCTTACCCAGGAAGGCAAAATCCCAAGAAATATTCAAGCTACAGAACCTTTGCCTTATTTCCATCCTGGTCGAGGCTTATAGAGCACAGAGTGGCCTTACGCAGTGTCACAACTGCCAACAATTTGGCCACGTCTGGGCAAATTATAAGCAACCTCCTCGTTGCATGTGGTGCGGGGGTGGCCACCTGCACAGAGAGTGCCCCGAGAAAGAGAACGCTACCTCCACTCCAGCGTGCTGTAACTGTGAGTTGAAGGATGGGGAGAAACTGCATCCCGCTAACTACCGCGGCTGCAGTCACGCGAAGGAGGAGCTGCAGAAGAGGAAATTGCAGAGAGCACCCAAACCACAACAGGAAGGGTGTTCTCATCAAATATCGTCACTCCTGGAATCTCCTTCGCGGCGGCTCTCCGAGACAACACATTGCAGGAGCAGCGGTCTCAGACTCGACATACACCAGTGGCAGTCCCACCAGCAGTCACGAAACCGACCGTCCCGGTTCCTGTACTGGAACAACACACAGGTCAGTCAGTTCAGGCTTCTAATATAAACAGTCAATCTCTCGACAATATGTTGAGAGTAGTGACTGTAGTACAGCAAATTATGACAGAGGTCAGTGGTGCAGTGTCTGAGGAAGACAAAATAATGGCCATAACTAAAATCATTTTAAACTTAATGAAACAAAATGGCCACTAGAGTTCATAGGCCCCTCAAAGTCATAGCATTTAATGCGAACGGCATTGGGAGGCAGCGCTATGAGCTCAGTAAACAGCTGCAAGACCTAGACGTAGATGTGGCCCTATTTTCAGAGACACATCTGAAACCTCATGAGAGGTTCTTTATTCCAAATTACCACTTTTATAGAATCGACCGCCA